AATAAAAATTTTTTTGGGAACATAAATTTATTAACTTATGTTCTCGAAGAACAAAAAAAAATTTCAAATCTTTTTCACTGCCCGTGGGTTGGTCTACAGGTGACCCGCGGATTGACCCACCCGGGTCAAAACACTAGTCATCTCATTGATCAATCTACGAATGCAAACATGAAGAACACGAAAAATTTGGATTCAAAATTTACCCAGATTTCTAAATAAAATTTACTAAAAAATACTGAAATAGATTTTATGAATTATTATAGCTATATATTTGTATTTATATAGTATACTATATAGTGTACAAATAGAAATTATCTAATGTACAATAATGTATAAACAAAAAAAATAAAAAACAATATACAGTATAATTGAAATATTATAAAACAGTATAATAAAATAAAATTTTTGAAGAGGTCATGCGCTTATAGTGTTGACTGTATATGTTACCTCCATACATACAGTACACTATGAAATTTTCTATGAATATACCTAAATTTATTATTAAATCTAAGAAATTATTACTTGAAAGAAATACATAAGGTTGTATGTTTTTCAAGTATGTATGTGAAAATAGGGTTTAAAATTTTTAAGAATTAAGAATTACAAAAAGTCAATCATAATAATAACAGTTATAAAATTATGTCTTTATCAACTGATGATTTTTTATGTTCAAGTATCTCAAGTATCTCATATTCTTTTTTCACAAAATTTTCAGCATCATCTTTACCTTTTTGAACATCGACGGTAAAAATGATGGCGATTGGTATTGTCATCATAACAAGTAAGAACCAATAAGAATATCGAAGGTCGTGGGTTGTATCACTTATTAAACCAGTTACTAATGGGCCCAACCAACTTGAACCCTTCATATTATAAAGTAAATTTGAAATTGTAATAAAATAAATATGTGTTTATGAGACTCAGTCATTGACAACTTTTGACTGATCATAAATTGTCGGATAACATCAATACTGGACGAGTGCCCAGTATTTATATAAACTAATTATTATTAATAGTATTCACATACCTTATCAGTAATTTCGTAAAGTGAAAATAATTCATTTTCATGTCCACGTGGCACTATACTTCCAAACAAAACTCGACAAAAACTCTGAATAGCACCCAATGAGAATCCAAAGTAAACGGCGAACATCCAAACCTCCCAAAGGCTTTTGAACCCGAACGGTGCCACGAAACCAATTAATCCATATATTGGAATTAAAGAATAAAGACTTGCTGTTATGAGAATCATCGTTTTAGTTGGTAAATTAAAGTATTGTTGAATTTTTAAAAATATATAAACTCCAATGAATGCACACAAAGGAATTATTATGGCAGCTATTAATAAATCCTTTAGACTAAGACCGAGTTGCTTTTTGCCAAAAAGTACGGCTACAGATGCAATCGTATTAAATCCATCACTTAATAGAAACCAAGCAATTAAGAATTTCATGGTTTGCCATAGTTGACGCGTTGACGAAATAGTTTTTGCAACGCGTTTCCATGAATAAAAAATATATTTTTCACCACTGAAATAAGATATAATAAAATAAAACATGAATGAATATTAAAATAAATAAACAATTATAAATTAGTTATAGTACATACGGAGGTAACGGTGGGTTCTTACGATCCTGTAACCATAATAGCGGAAAAGTCAAATTGAGAAGCCACCATACACCACAAATTGCGGTACAAATTTGATAACTATATGGATCGTTACCCATCGATACCACGACACCCCCACAGAGAATTAGAATAACCACACCAGAAGAATAGCCGATAATAAGAGAATTAGATGATATTTCATTTGCGACCTCATCTTCAATTTTATAAATTTCATCTGGTGTTGCACCAGCCTTTTTGGCATCAATTACTCGAGGATGAACACGAGAGAATGTTGGAATATATGCAAGATAAAATACAAATGCGGCTCCAAATGAAACATTACTTCGAAACAAAGGTGAATGAACTCGTTAAAATTTATTCTATTACCTACCTACCTAAAGATGGAACCATGAAATTACTTACGATATGATCGTTAAAAGTCCAGCAAGCCAATAAAGGCCTAAAAAAAATTAAAACACTATAATTAATGGATTATTATTATTTCACAGTTTGTTAATGTATATGATATATATATATATATAATTATAATAAATCATTACCGGATGATCTTACGATAATGAATGCAATTGTTGAAGACGCGCCAATATATGAGAAAGTAAGTAAGAATTTTTTCCGGTTGTCTAAATAATAAAAGTTAATCATTATGAGCAAAAGGCATTTAATAATACATCACGAGATATACATACTCCCATGATCCGCAAGAGACCCAAATGCAGTATATATAATTGCTTGAAGAAATACCGAAATGGATATTATATATAGTGAATAGCTTGCAGTATCAACAAATATTGGGCCAAATTTTACATCGCATGTATAATTTATTTGTGACTAAAATTTTTAAAAATTACGAGAATTAAAAGTATAATTTTACGAAGAAATTATTAACGATAAGAAATTAACCGTATTGCATGGAGTCACATGATCCAATTCAAATCCAGCACCGCCCGCGAGATATTCCAACATTACCGGGACGAAAACTATTTTGAAACATTTTAGTGCAAAAAAACATATATATATTTATATATATCTGATATATTTTAATGGTAATTTATCAAGCATCACCTGTTATTGCAGCAACATAATAAACTTCACACTATAGTTTCAACATAGTAAGAATTATTTAAACTCATTTTTCGTAAATAATACAACTCTGTAAACGATATATCAACATACCGCCAAGTTGTATAAGTACCAGCCTCTTAATTCTTTTGGCGTAACTGGAAGGTCATCAGTTAACATTATATCTGTTAAAAGCTATAACGAATCCGATTTTTTTTGTGCTTTATAAAAAGTATACGGATATTTTTATGCTTTATAAATTTTTTAACACAGAATTTATAAAAGTATACGAATATTTTTATTTGTAATAAATGGTTTGTTTTTTATAACACAATATTTTAAAGCAGGAATTTGATGAATGATGAATGAGACGAAAGAAGAATAAATTCCGAGATCATAGTAATAGATTTATAGTAAGCAATATCAAGAATTACTGAATTTTTTTTAACACGTAAAATCATGAAAATCACGAAAATCACGTTCATCATCACGGCATAACCGGAATTGTCTTAAATGGCTGTGTTGAAAGATTTGAGGGACGTTTCTTAACGTTAACGTTAGTACAGTAGAACCTTAGAGTTCCGGATTCTCTGACACACACTCTCTATCAATGGCTTGTTAAATTTAAAGGCTTTACTTTTTTTTTTAAATCAAAATTTAATGTCTTAAAGATCATGAATACTATATAGCGATAATAATTTTAATTGTCAACCATTTTTAAAACTTTAGGCAATTAACGAGTAATTTATTAGAAAAGCCTTGGTATCGAGATTGTTCACAGCAATTTTTTTTATTACTGTATTACCGTAAGCAGGTATTTCGATGATATCGATATCGGGCGCATCTTAATAAGACCAGGGGTCAAAAGGACCCCAAACAATATATATAGAAGTTACATTGGAATTTTGGCTAAAAAGATTACTTTTTTACAAAAATGTTATATTTGAAAAGCACAAGTTAATTTTAAAGCTTTATACAACCAAACCTCCCTAAATGCAAGCTGCCTGGACCAGTCTCAAAGCATTTCTACGTTAACGTTAGGGATAGGGATGGCAGAAATCATGATTTAAATCGATTTTTTTGATTTAAAAATGATTTACAAATGATTTAAATCATTAATTCTTATTATGTAATCAAACTATTTTATATTCAAATTCTGACTTTGAATGCGACTTTCAAATCCACAGAATCTCAGACATATTGTTCTACAACACAATACTAAATGATTTAAATCTGCTTTAAATTGATTTAAAATAAAAATCAGTGATTTTTATCATCGTGATTTAAATTACATGCCATCCCTAGTTAGGGAGTTGCAATTCGATAATATATAGGGTGATATATAGGGTGCCTCGTATTAAAAGGGACCATTTTGACAATTGCAAAGTTAATTAATATATATATAATAGATTCACAAAATGAAATTTAGAAAAATTTTTGTGTTTCTATTTGTAGATCATCGATTACTCGAAATTGTTTATGTTGCCTTTTAATACGAGGCATTCCATATATAGAAATTGTGGTATTGACATTATGTCCGGACGATGGATCATATATGGTCAAAATTATAAATACTGTAGCATTGAGCATAATTCAAGCCTACATTTCTTAATAATTTCAATTCTTCATCCATATTTTTACTTCATTTTTTATTTGTATATGCAAATAATTGCATGGCATATAAATAATAACTGTTTTTCATACTCAGCCTAAAATAAAATTGTAAATAATTTATGAATGGCTTATTTTAAATATATATACTTAATAATGAGATAAAATTAAGAAACGCAGATCACATATGAACAAGACCCGACATAACCATTTTCCCCGACACGACCATTTCCTCAATAATCACATCAAGTTGGGAAATGGTCATGCCGTCGTGGTCATGTCGAGGAAATGGTTGTTGGGGAAGTGGTTGTCGGATAATGTCGGTAAATTCGCAGAAACAATTTCGGTGTTGATTTTTGATATGAAACCGCTTAGGTACAGTACCTAAGCAGTTTCATATCAAGCAGAAATACATATATAGATAAAATTACCAGGTATGCTATTTCTCAAAAACGGCTTTGAGCTGTGAGCCAAAGATGACGGATAAATAAAAGATTTATCAATTACGTTTTTTTTTTAAAATACTGTATAAGCGCGAAATAACGTCCATCTGCGCGTTATTTGAATATGCTCATGTGGTTATTTCGGAATAAGATAAGATTTTCTAAATTCAAACAGCCGACCTGCACTTTGTTCAGTAAAAATACATTTATGGAATATTCATTTATATGGAGAATAATCTACATGAGTTCTTTCACAGTAAAATCATGCTTAGATATATATATTTTATATACTCTAAGCATGGTTTTGCTCCCAAATAATTACATTAGACCCATCACTTATCAATAAATTATGCGCTACATTAGGATGCGCGTTAATTCTGGACGAGCACTAACTCGAGACCATATGAAAAATGACCCTCCGAGGCATGTTGATTTTGTAAATAAAAATTAAATTTGCCAGCCATCTAGTATCCAATTTGGAAAACTTTTTTTTATTTTGTAGAATCTAAAAAATTCATCAAGTTGGATAACTAGATGGCTGACAAAATCAACATAGCCTCGGAGGGTCATTTTCATAGCAAAGAATATCATGTGTACTTATCATTAGCATGTGAAGTGCACTTATAGAGTGTGTACAATAATAAATTGTATTCTACATTAGGATTCTGGGCGAGCGCTAATTCGAGATCACATAAAATTATTTTTGAAGGACCCGATTTTCAAAATAACGGCACGAGCGTTATTTATTTTATGGCAATTACACTATTTGTACACTAGTGTATATACACGAGAGTATTGCTGTTTCTCAAAATTCGATTATGAAACCACCTTTTGGGCTTCTAACAAAAAAAAACATCCTTACAAAATTTTGGTATAAGTTAACCCTCACACCAATCCCAAACCTCACCCTTACCTTAATTATAAGCAGTTGTAAAAATTTTGATCAGCATGCCACACGATTTGCAAATTAATACCCACATAGTGTATAATTAGGTTTTTCCTTACTTTATTTATGATTTAACACCTACCAAAACGCACCTATTTATACCTATATATGCATTGTCTCAAGAACTAACTAGTGATGCGAATGGCTCGGCTCACGGCTAACACTGATCAACCCGAGCCGATCTTTCAGCTCATCAGGCCGTTTACAAGCTGTGGTAATTTTTTTTTTACAGAAATATAACATAACCATCATTTATAATACAGTACAGTAGAAGGTTCTTCACAGACGAAGGTTTAAGTACTACTCTATGTAAGTATATTTCACTTAGAGACGTTTAAGTAGAAAGTTTCTAATTAATTTATAGAAATTTCGGATATATAGTTTCTTATATACTTGAAACATTAAGTTTTAAACTTTATCCGAACAATTAAATAAATTGTCAATGTCATTGAAGTCACAATAGTAGGTGAGTTTATTATTGGCTACTTAATGCTCGTGAGCGTTATTTAGAAAATCGAGTCCTAATGCGATAGATATACAGTCGATACTCTCTATATGCGCACATTTTATAAGTGCACTTCACATGCTATAATGATAAGTGCACATAATTTGATCTGTCTAATGTAATTATTTAATATTATATGTAGATTTTTATCCATAATGAATATTTTATTACCCAACAACGTGCAATTATTGAAGGTCGACTATATTGAATTTAAAAAATCTTCTCTTATTTCGAAATAATGCACATGATTCGAAATATCGCGTAGGTCAATTAATTAGTGGTAATAGTAATAGGATATAAACCTATCGGCCGTAGCTCCACGATCGGCAACCGGCTCGGCTTAGCCATTCAGCTCGCGGCTCGGCTCGAGCCGTTCGCATTACTGAGAACTAGCTAAATAATCGGTGCGTGGTGCTAAAGTAAAAATGTATTAACCTCCCAAATCTTAAAATAAATACCGTACTAACCTAACATGAAAAATTAATTTATATACAAAACTTATAAGAACTTAAAAAATATAAAAAATATAATAAAAATATATTAAAAATGCAAAACCACTATAGGTATATTTATAATATCTAATCATAATTTATTATATTACTGTATATATATGACTTTATTTTATCAATTTATTAACTGGATGCATCTATATACATACTAACTTTTCTAAACTAAAGTTAGAGCAGTTTAGTTAAGATTAAATTAGAGTTAAAGAAACTTTATTTTTGACACTCTTTATTAATATATTAAGGTAAGTTTAGGCTGCTGTTTCTTGTATTTTTTTGTATTTTTCATTTTTATTGCTTTGTTTTGTTTTGATAAACTAATTTAAAATGATTAAATTTATACAATTTGATTAATTAATTATCAAATTTTGGTATATGTTGTATATACTGTAGATACTGTAGGCAGTGTTAGATATCTAATGTTCTCAGTGTTCTCAAGAACATTAAAATACTTTTGAGAACACAAATTTTGAAAATTATGTTCTCATTTGAGAACATAAAATTTGTAAATTGTATTATACAGTCAGACCTCTCTAAATGCACGTTGTCGGGACCAGCTCTAGCACGTGCATTTAGAGAGGTATTGCATTTAGGGAGGTAAAAATCTATAGATGTAATATTAGTTGGGCCCAAAAGAAGACGTGCATTTAGAGAGGTGCTGCATTTAGGGAGGGTGCATTTAGGGGGGTCTAACTGTATCTAAATCTTTTGAGAACATTTTAAAATTTAAAATTTATGTTCTCAGAGAACAAAAAAAAAATTTCAGATCTCTAACACTGACTGTAGGTATACTCTTTATTAACCAAAAAATAAATTTACTATAAAATTTAATTTAGTATTATCAAAAATAAAAAATATATTATATTTATAATACTAATATTGTATTATATATATTATAAAAAACTTTCTTGTCTATTCTCCTTTTCTATGTAGTGTTATATATTAAATAATAATAATAATAAATCTATAAATTAGCTAATTAAATGTTGTATTAATAATCTTCGCAAATATCATTATTATATATATATATTATATATATATAAATTTTTCTAATAGTATTGATTTAGTTTTTGCCAGATATTTATTTCGGTGCTTTAGAACACCGGGTCTGCAATTATTATCGTTATAATGCTGTATTTAATTTTTATATTTGCCAAAAATTATTGCAAAAATTTTTTGAACTCTCCATATAGATATTTCGGAAGGTTTCATATTAAAACATTTGCTGAAATACTTTTTTTAAAAATAATTTAGGCACATATAAATCTATGGTTTTATGCTATTGATTCTTGAATTATTTACGGACCACATAGACTTTAATTGCAGGAATTTGAAATTTTGTTGCGGCTCACAGACTCTACAATCATGCAGCACTTTATTTATCGAGTACTAAATTTGCTATTTAAGTCGCATTTTTATAAAATTTAAAGATATAAATTTTTTATTAAAGTTATTATATACAATGTAATTCTTTTGATTTTAACTCAACCTTTTTATATAATAATATAGTATATAGTTAAATTTCAGGCATCTCTGTACTAATCTACTGATTTTCGTCACCTCGGGCTGTGTTTTATTTTAACAAGTTTTTTTCTTCTATTTTGATACAGTACTTAAGGCTAAGCTATTCATTCATCTACGTGTAACAAGCAATCATTCATCATCGTTAGGCATGAAGACTGTCGAGATATATAAGGAAAAACATCATAATAAGTATGTTTAGTTTTTAGTCGTTCTTGTGGATACTGTTCAATATTTTTGGTCAAGCAGATCCTATCTTGATATTTATAAGTGGTGGTTACTAGAATAAACATCAATTTAGGTTGATTTAGGGAAACTTGCTTTGACTGTCAAGATCTACATTCGAAAACTTTTTTTGATATTTGTTTTGAGTTGAAAGTGAAAAATGAAAAAGAGCCAAATGTTTTTGATCGTAATGAGTAATCATCTTTTATACCTGTTCTGTTAATATTTATTTTACTTTAGAAATTCTGGCGTCACAATGTCGTTATCTCCTTTATCAAGCAATATTCATATTCAAAATTTTGAAGACAGATATGCAAATCACTTTGAAAATTCATCAGATAACCACATTTTGAAAGATGATACTTTGAAAGATGATACTTTGAAAGATGATACTTTGAAAGATAATACTTTGAAAGATTATACGTTGAAAGATGATACTTTGAAAGATGATACTTTGAAAGACGATACTTTAAAAGATGATACTTTAAAAGATGATACTTTGAAAGATGATACTTTGAAAGATACTTTGAAAAATGATACTTTAAAAGATGATACTTTAAAAGATTCTAACATGATGATAGAAACTGATGACTTAGATCTATCATCCCCACGAGCTCGTGCAATTATTATTTCAGAGCCAGCGATAATTAATGTTATTAATATTGAAGCTCAACCATCTCCTGTGATATCCAAACATCTTTCCAACAATTCGCTTGATGAACCAATTTCTAAAACTATTGTAAGTTAAAATTTTTAATAAATTTATGAAATTTATTTAATTTTATATTGATTTTTAAAAATTAATATAAGTATTTTAATATAATATTCAAAAGCTTCGAGATTTACGTAATATTGTAATTAAATTACGACATGTTCTTTATCCTAAAGGAAACCAAGATGTTTTACGTGATTGTAAATATAATCAAATAACGTAAAGATTGTAAAAATAAGTAAATTTATAATTATGAACTGGTTTCTTGATAAATTTTTTTTTGATTCAAAATAAAGATGCTTATTTTTCAAACTTTACGATAATTTTCTATTGCTATTTACTTTTTTTTTTTTTTTTTTTTTATTGTTTATAGTAATTAAAAAAGATTTTTTATTTTAAAGGGGATTTATGGGGTCCATTAATTTTTTGTTTGACATTATCCGCGTAAGTGGCAATGTAACATAATATATAAAACATTATTTAGTGAATTTTCATTTTATTATTCTCACATAAAATGATAAATGATTATTGTTATTAGATTATTGAGTGCTGATGCAAGACATCAAGGAGTTTCAGTGTTTACAGGTGTTTTTATCATTGTATGGTCTGGTGCTGCTATGGTGACAATAAATGCGAAACTCTTGGGTGGCAAGGTGTAAGTTAATATTTTAAGCGAAGCTTGATTAAGTTTTTTTTTTATGAGAATAAGACTAATCAGTTTTTTTTTTTTTCTATCGGTAAATTTAGATCATTTTTTCAAAGCATATGTGTTCTCGGTTATTGTGTTTTTCCTTTAGTTCTAGTTGCGTTTATAGATCTTTTTATTGGTAAAAGAATTTATGTAAGATTACCTTTAATAGTAATGGCATTTGCATGGTCTTCTTGGGGTGAGAATTGTATTTTATTTTACAATTTGTCATTACTAGGTCTACTTAGGGTTAATACTTTTTTTTTTTTTTAGCCTCTGTTAACTTTATTTCGGCTTCTCATTTAGCAAATCGCCGAGCATTAGCAGTATATCCATTATTTTTGTTTTATTTTATTATTGGTTGGATAGTGTTAATTTATTAGCGTTTTACTGCTATCATTATCGTTATCTTTATACTGTGCATTTAATAAAGATTACCATTTTTAGAAACAAAAGATATACTTTTAACGTTGCAATTTATCCAAATTAGGTAAAATGGCTTCGTTAGATTAATTAATTAAAATTAGAATAATACGATATTCGAATGATTGATTTACTTTTACATATAAATCACAATTGTTTCTCACTTTTTTGCCTAAAGACAAACAAAGCATTTCTTTGTACATTGCAAAAATTTGACCATAATTTATTTTTAATTACAACAAGTATTAACTCCTGAAGTTTCACTATCCAATTTATTCAAGATAATGAGATAAAAATCAGCCCAATCTATCGGTACTAAATGTACACTAAATGCTATAATCCTTTCCAACAAGACAAATAAAGTTTTCGTGGATTTCCATTTGTTGCAATGAAAGTTTTTTGAAACAGTTTATCACGAGATTCTATATAAAAATAAAAAAAAAATTTATTAACAAAATTTAAAATTAGAATCACACAAATTTAGTAACAAAAATTTAAAATTAGAAACAAAAATTAATAAAATGATATGAAACTTACGTTGTAATATTGATGAACCATCACAATAATAATCTAAAACACCTTTTGCCTCAGTTTGAGAATAATTAGGAACATCAAACCTTTGTAATCCAACAGCGTAATTTAAAATATTTTGAGGATATTGTTTCCATGGAGATGGAGCTAATAATCCAAGAGCAATATTTAACGGTTTACTAATATATGGTTTATGACATTGAGATAAAGCACCTATTATTGCACCATATGTCTATAAAATAAAATTAGTAAAAATTTGTAAACATTGTAGAAATATAAAATAAGCTAAAAATGAATAATATATATATATGTCATACAAAATCACGTTTTCCAGCAAAATAATCCAATATTGTACGTGGAACTGATAATCTATCAGGATCGAGATAGGTATCATCAACATCGGTATATTCAGTCGCAGTGTAAAAAGCATTAACTACATCAACGGCTAAAAGAATTGGATAACTAAATTAAATTAGAAAAATTCAAGTTAAAATTTGACAAACATATTTATTTCAAGTTTTTTTTTTTTTTGATAAATTATAAATCGTATTTACTTTACATTCTTTCCAACTTCATCCAAAAAAATTTCAAATACTTGAAAAGCACAACTTATATCCTTGATTCCAATGTCCATAAGTTCTATTACTGGAGAATTACTTTTTATTGTATATTTGTTTAATTTATAATCTCTTGTTAATGTTAACTAAAAAAAAAAAAAAGAATTCTTTAATTATATAAAATAAAGATAATAAACATTTTTAATTTGAGAAATGATCTTACATCTTGTAAAAGTTTACCATTAACAGCTTTGATTTGTTTTAATAACTCTGCTGATAAAGTAGGCTGAACAAATTCATTTGTTATCTTATTTTTTATATATGGATAAGAACTATTTATAAACTTGATAGCTGATTAAAAAAAAAATCAAAAAAATCAATATATTGACAATATATTATTATTATTATTATTAGAATAAAATTAAATAATATTTTACCGAATGGAATGTATATCACGATCCATGGTTTGCATAAAAAATAATTAATAGTTTGAAGTAGTAAGGCACTTTTTCCTACACCCATTTCTCCAGCTAATAAATCGGAAAAAATAATTAACATAAAAATAGATTAAATAAGCACGTTAACATATATATTTACATAAAATAATTCTGGTTTCTGTGCTTGATTTTTGTGAAGCATTTTCAATTAGGTTTGTTAATTGAATTGATGATTGACGAATTGCTAAAGAAGGGTAAGGTAATGGAGAGAGCTAGTGCGATTAAAAAATAGATTTGCATTTAATTAAAGTAGGTTTATAAAGGAAATATAGAGAGAAATAATAATATTATTAGCAAAAAAAATAGCAACTAACTTCTTGTTCTAAAATAGGAGGAAATTTAAAAATTTCAATTTTTGGAATGATTTCCGGAGGAAAGCGATAAATTTTACCAATATTTTCATCAGTATATACCTCCTGTTGCACAATTTTATTTTAAAATTTTTATTAATTTTATAACATACTAACTTGTATAAAAAGATAAACATACCGGTAACATTTCTTCTAAAGTTATAGCTGGAGGAGGCAAGTAAAGTTCTTTATTTTTTGTAAAACTTGTAGATAATGTCTGTTCGGCGGCGGCTTCCTAATATTAATAAATAATTAAAAATAAATAATTAAAAATTTTGAATACGAAAAAATTTTAATTGTATTGTAAGAACAAACCTCATTAACATGTTTCTTTAGATTTTTTTTTAGAAAACCTTTATTTTTTTGAACTTTTGCGGAAGATTTTTTTACTAAAATGATATAAACGTATTTCATAATTAGTAAAAAGAAAAATTTATGAATAAATTAGAAACAAATATACAACACTTTTTGGTTTAGCGGTTCCAGTTCTCTTTTGAACAATTAAACATGTTGAAAGTAAGGATGGTTGTATATAATGATTTAATGAAATTTGTTTATTGAAAGTTTTAAGATAAAAGTGACGGAAAGCCATATTTTCAAAATGATAACGATAATCGAATGATGTTCGATATCTATATTTGATATCGTAAAAAATATAATAATATAATAATATAATAATATATATATACTGTACATTGTAGATTAAAATCACATGATGATGTTATGGAAAAAAAACAAAAGAAAAATTGAACTCGCGTCGCCTGCAGGATTCGAACCTGCGCTCCCAGAAGGAAATGGCTTAGCAGGCCACCGCGTTAACCACTCCGCCAAAGCGACTTTGGTACTAGTAGTTCGGCAAATCTATATTATTTATATAATAATTATGTAGATAATGTTACATAAAAACCCGTATGGCTTATAATGGTAACCAATATGTATGACAATAAAAAATCGAAACGTATACGGTAAAAGTGTATAATTCGTAGAATAAAACAAGTAAAACACTAGCAAATAGAAATTAATGAGCAGAAAGAAGAGGTGTATAGAGAGAATAATCATAGTTAGAAGTTCTTAATATACGTATATGTACAGGTAATGATATTCATTTATTGTTTATTGTAATGATTTATTGTAAACACATCATGCTGAATCCAACTCACGTTGGTACCCCACAGTAAATAGATAATAAGTAAATGGTTAAATTTGGTAAATTAAACAATAAAATAGACTTTTTTTTGATGTAAATATTATATAATGCTATAATTGTATTTAATCAATATAAGTTAGTTCAAAAGTTAATTTAATTTTTTATAAAATTCTTATCTTTATAAACTCATATAAACATATCTGTATAAACTCATATAAACATATCTGTATAAACTTTTGTTTATATAAACTAATCTGTATGTATAAACTTAACTATATAAACATATCAGAGGAAACTTACTTATTTGTATAACTTTATAAGTAATTGTATAAAACCAGATTTGATGTAATTATGAACAAATATAATAAATATGAACAACATGCATTCTTAAAATTTTAAAGGCCAATTATAAAAAGGACGCCATATATCTGCATTAATAAAAAGAAAATTGTGGGGGTGAGAATATCAAGAGTACAGCAAATTATATGAAACACCATTTTAGATTTTTATGAATGAATCGAGATAACGTTTTTGATAATAATCAACAATAGGTTTTTCTAGCATTGTGTACTGAGAGATAAATTTAGAATAAATATATCTCTATAAAGGCAGCAATATTAAATATTTACATCATTTTACTCATTTCACGTATTTCACGTGAAAAAATCAAACTGATAACATAACTGATAACTGATAATATAACTGATAACATAACTGATAAAAATACTGATTTTAAGGTATGTAAAACGCGTTTGAAAAAAAAAGGATATGCGCGTGTAATAAAAAATATTTGTACCGAGAATTTTATTGAAATACTTTCGTCAAATCCCATAAATGGTATATTTTTAAGATTCATCAACAATATCAAAAAAATTTGACAATATCAAGTGTCATATTCGATCATTTGTTTGTTTGGTGTTCCAGGAATTTGGCTTAGCCTGTTCGATTTATATCACAAAGTTTCAAATAGTAAAATGAATGAGAACTATTTCATTCTTTTTTTTTTTTTTTAACTTAATGCATTATGTAATGTACATAAATGCGTACAGATGTTACACGAAAAGTTTATTTTTATTTTTTTTTAAATAACCCCGATAGAATGATAAAATTTTGTTTGAGTTTTTAAATTTTACTGTAAGTATAAACGTATAAACGTATAATAAAACCAGTTCAAATTCAAATCACTTACGTTTTAATTTTTTTTTTTTTTTTTTTTTTTTAAAACGTGGAAACAATAAAGTACATTGTTCGCAGGGCGTTACGATATATATTTGTAATTATATGTAATTACAATAATCCTATTGTATAATTTTCAAATAAAATTAATTGAACAAGGGTCACGAGGATTTTTATCATGAAACAATCGGGTGATATTCTGGTAATCCTATAAGTAGCCTAATTTTCTTCAAATTTTTTTTTGTCTTGAAAATTTCAAAACTTTTTTCACGTCCAATTCTCCAAAGATGATCATCATGACTGGTCCTTGTATTGCCACAGAGATTCCTCCCGAAATTTTCATTAATATTTGTCAAGATCTTCCCCCTTCTGACCTTCTTTCTCTTGCTCAAGTTTGTAAAAAATTTTATGGTTACTTATGTTCAACTCATTCAAGACCTACACAAGAAATTTGGCGTAATTCTAGATCTCAATTTTTACCTTATGTTAAAATGCTTCCTCCTGATAATATGGATGAACGTCAATATGTAAAACTTCTTTCTGAACGTGGATGTCAATTTTGTAAAAGACCTAGAATAAGAAGAATTTATTGGGCTTTTCGTGTTCGTTGTTGTAAACCTTGTTTGAGTGAAAGAACAATGAGGTATTTATTATTGTTATATACTGTATATTCATATACTGTACTATAATAATATATTTTATACTCAATCATACTTAATCATACTTGATTATACTTGATTATACCTAACTAATACTTAATTCTACTTAATTATACCTAACTAAATACTTAATCATAGATTAGATCAAATTCGGCGTGATTTATTATCAAAATTTTCTATTCCTGATGATATTTTACGTGGATTAACTTATACAACAGGATTTTATAAATGGGGATGGGATCAAAGTCCAAAAAATCGACCTGCAAATTTATATTGGAAAGATGATGTTTATCGTGTTTATAATGAATATTTAAAACTTGATCCTGATGAAAGAAAAGATTGGCTTCTTAATAAAAGAAAAGAAGGTCGACAAAAAATGGAAGATGTCGCTCAACGTGAAATTGAACATGAAAATGAATATTGGGTTAAATCTTCTGAAAATGAAAAAAAGCGTGAAGAACGCGCTTCTACTATTGAATCTCTGATAAAAAAAGAAAGAAATGATTTTGGTTTATTAAGATTTAAAATGCCTATAGTAGAACAATGTATGGTTTATAATAAGGCCATAATGTCATCATCCACACATACTTTTACTAATCGTGCTTGGATTGGATTAAAAAATAAATTAATTCCTGAATATACAAAACTTGCTGCTTCTCATAGAACTCAACGTCAGGCTGCTGAAAAATTATTCTCTCATGATGTAGCTGTTCAAACTCGTCAAATGGATATACTTAAATTAATTTTTGATTTACCTCGTCCTGATTCTGATCAACCTGTAGTTGCTATTAGTAATAGTAATACTAATACTAATACTAATACTAATACTACTACTACTGCTGCTACTACCGCTGTTATTGATCATCATCAAAATGATATTAATTCATTTGATAATAATATTATACATCAATCTCAATTTGAAACTCATTTAATCAAATATCTTCCTTGGTGTCCGACCTTTCAAAATTTACCTTTTACTGATAATGACCCTAGAAATCTTTGGGATGACGAATTTCTGATCTTAAGTTTAATTCCTCAACTTCGTGCTGAAGCAATTCATTTAAAAAATAATCCTGCTCCACCATTTACTGTATGCGGTGCATTTCTTCATAAGCGTTCAGGTAATAAACGCGTATATAAATGCAAATTATGCAACCATCCTGAAGATATCATACTACAACACCAACAACAACAACAACAGCAACAACAACAACAACAACAACTTTATTCATTTTATGAAATTCGATTACATTTGATAAGAAATTCTCATAAAATCAATGTAATTAAAGATGATATGATTGAAGTTGTTTCTGAGGTCTTTGATAATGCAGAAAATGCTCAAGAATTTCCAAGAAATAAACCTGAAATCTTTTTTGCAGCAGGTTTTAACGTTAATTTGATTGTTAATTTATAATTGTTATTATATAAATGACAATCTTTATTATTTACTTACTTAAATTATGGATACTACGAATACTACAAATACTACATTAGATTTTTTTTTTCTTCTTTTTTTTTCTTTCATTATATATATTTTTATATTTATCTTTGCAGATTCTATTTATCATTCAAACATGTTCGATTTTCGCATTCTACCGTTATTAATCACGACCTATGCTTATCTTTTATGTTTTTTTCCCTTGTTTGATTGCATCTTTCGATTAGATTTACCTCGTTTTTTTTTCGAAAGTTTTTTTTTTTCCTTATGCTATGTTTATTCTTCTTTTTTAAGATTATAAGGTTTGAATAAGTGATATCAGAAGCAATAAATAAAAAAATAATAAAAAAAAATAATAAAAAAAAAAATAATAAAAATTAATAAAAGGGTAATATATATATATTATATAAAAAAAATCGAGCTTACAGACATAACTGATAATAAATTCACATGATATGTTGGTTCGTAAACCGCGTTGCTGTTAGTACGTGCCGCCCAAACAATAAACTCTCCTAAATAATCCCAAATATAATAAAATTGGGATTTGGAACGAATAGTTTTGCCGGCAACTATAATGTCGAGCATAGTGCCAAGTATAGTGGCAAGTATAGTGACAAGTGTTTCTCTCTATAGTCACATCAAATTTCTGTCAGATAATAGATAATAGATAATGCATAGCTAATACAGTAATATTGTAATAAATGAACAGGAGAATTTTTCACGTGTTATCATTCTTTCGCTTTCGTTTCGGACAATGAGTAATTTTATTTCCGTGAAGATCCGAATCACGTTACACATGTAATGCAAACTTGATACTAATCTATAAAAACCACCTCAATCCGCCTTTTTCACCCTTTCCTAAAATCACTCATCCAATTTTAGTATTGACCAATGGTCCGCATTTTCCGGTATGACTTTTGAATTCTTTTTTATTTTTAAATTCAAAATTAACTTCTAAAAGAATATATTCGTTTTACATATGTATAATAAATTATTTATTTACTCTAAAAAGTATTTAAAAAGTATTTATAATCTAAAATTCATTAAGTTGTACTAATTGTTATAAAAATTTATAATTATTTAAAAAAAGATTTACGAAATAGCCTTTTGAATAATAACTATATATTGTTATTTACTTCCAAGATTTTTTAATAAAGTTTCTTAATTAATATTTTATTGTATTTACTTAATTTGTTATTAATTATTTGTTATTAATTCATACATGGTATACCTTTTTTTAATGAGTGTTTCCTTGCACTACTTTTTACACTGCTTTTTTTGCTCCGCTTTTTATACTACTTTTTACACTGCTTTTTTTAATACTAATTTTTACACTGCTTTTATACCGCTTTTTATACCGATTTTTATACCGCTTTTTACAAATATAAAAAAATGTTTATTACGAAAGTCGTTTCATCCGGGAAATATCAATGGAGAAATGTAAGAAATGTAGCACAAAAAATCCTTAATTGACATGAAAATCGTAAATTTTTTTTTTAATTATAATTGATTTTCAAAAAGTCGATCAAATGCAGATATAAAGTTTGCTAAACCTAATAACGTTACTTTACTGGAATAAGTTTATTTGTGTACCGTTGAACTTTGTTTTTTTTTAAAGTATATATATTTTTTACACAAATATAAATTTGTATTTGTTACATATTATTCTATACGTATAAAAAAAAAAATTTAAAAAATGTCATTTGATAAAAAGTAAGGCGCGTGTAAGAAACCTTTTTTGAATCTCATTCGGAATACAAATTTCTATTCCGTAAAAAAAAAATTTATTATACAGTACCAGGCTTTTCAAATCATATTGTGCATAGTGGCATAATGGCGTAATTTACACCAAATCAATTTTCAGGTAATATATTCTCTTTTTTGTAATATTGTTAATATTATACTGTTATATAGATATATGCTGTATTAATAATTGATTATCCTTTCTTTGTTATCTTCAATTACATACAAATGTTAAAAATTACAAAAAAAAAAAATTACATAAAGAATTTGTAATAAAAAAATCCAATAGCACGTGACATATAAAATATTGTATCTTCCAAGTTTAGATTATTTTCTCCTAAAATCCTGCAAGCGAATGTGATTATTTAAAAAGAACATTATTAAAGTTGTTGTTTTGATCTTGTCTTACCAATTTTTGAATAAACAATCATTTATATATCTAAAATAGTAAAACGTTAACAATATTTTTACGAAGTAATTCCAAATTAAGAAATTATACTAATTTAAAAAAAAATTTTTTTAAATACGTAATTTAGTCAATTTAGTCAATATCAATTTTGTTTTTACGTAGTTATTCCTTCTATTTTTCCTAATAACCTTTCTTTGACCTTCATTTGAGGCTTGGCAATTTAAGGTTCCAGGATGGGTTCTCTTAACATCCTTATTTTATACATACCTAATACGTACGTACGTACGTACAACTTGTATGATTATATCAGGTATGTATGTATTTGATACGTATATAACTGATAATATGATAGAAATATTATTATCTACATTAATTAGATTAGGCTAATACCGTATATTGACTTATATATTGACTTATATGTTGACTTATATTGACTAATATGATTGTTAATTACATATCGATATATATTTATATTAGTATGATTGTGGGCTGTGTCGCATTTACGTACCGGATGTACCGGATGTAATAGCATAAAGTCCGAGAAAAAAAAAGTACACATACATTATCAAAAAAAGGTTATCGGAGAATAAAAAATCGTAACGCATGTATTCATTAATATTAAATAAGTTTATATGTTACGAGTTGTACAATAGAAGTTTCCATTTATATATTACTTTATATCACAAGACCAATAGAAAAGAAAAAAATATATATATATCAAAAAAAAAATTTTTTTTTAAAGTGTCCGATTTTGTAAGCAATAACCTATATAATATTCAATACAAGGTTTTTTGTATTTGGTTTCACTAATTACGTATTTGGGAGTGGTCCGTATTACTTTTTAACTTTTAAAAGGAGTCTGAATCAATCTGTGCATCTTTTTTGACGGACGCCAAGTTTCCGCTCCTCCTTTATCCCTTTAAAAAAAATAAAAAAAAATATATATATAAATCTTAAAGGTATAAAAATATCGATAAGATCGTAAACTTTAAATTTTTGAAATTTTTTTTTTTTTTTTTTTTTGAAAAAATCATAATCATGTCTCAACGTCGAAAAGGATATCATCCAGGAGGGAAAAGACAAAAACAACCAAAGGTGTGTGTTTTCATCATACTCCCTCCTGAAATGTTTATCAATGTTTGTCAATATCTACCTCCAAAAGACTTATTATCACTAGCTCGAGTTTGTAAAAGATTTAATGGCTATTTAAGTGCAGAGACTTCTACAACAACTCAGGAAATTTGGCGTGCATCAAGAACTTCTTATTTACCTTATTTACAAATGTCTCCACCCGAAGGGATGACTGAAAGGCAATATGTTAAATTGGTTTTAGAACGTGGTTGTCAATTTTGTGATAGATCAAAAATTCGTAAAGTTTATTGGGAATTTTTTGTACGGTCTTGTGAGGATTGTTTGAAAGATAGAATACAAAGGTAAAAATTTGTTTTTTTTTGAAAAAAAATTACCGTTAAAACTTGATATTTCCCTTTTTTTAAAATATATATCTATTTTCTTATTTATTAGGAAAGAAGATCTCCTTCCAGAATTTATGAATGATGGTCGTTCTTCTGATGATGTTATTGCTGGTTTAACTTATATACCATCTTGGGTTAGACGTTCATATTATATGAGGAATTCAAGAATGTGTCCGTCAAGCCTTTATTGGATTGATGATATTATTAAAACGGTTGAGGAATATCAAAATCTTCCATTACATGCCAGGAATGACTGGATAAAACAAAAAAAAGAAGAAGGTATGGCAAAGATGAGAGAAGTAAATCAACGTAGATTGGATTATGATAGAGGAATGAGAGAATTAGTTCAACAAAATTCGGCAAAAAAGAATGAAAGATCTCGTTTAATTAAATCAAGGATACAAACCATGAAGAATGAAAAAAATTCCAACAATTGTTTAAAGTATGATAGTAATATACTTGAAGAATGTCCAACATATTTGAATCATATGTTTATGCAGATCCGTCAATCTCCACAACCTTTCACTGAAAGATCTTGGGTACTTTTGAAAAAGAAATTATTAAGAGAATATGAAGAAAGACGTACTACAAAAAGGCAAGAACGTCAAAATAAAGAAAGACTTTGGCCTAGGAGTATTGTTGTTCAAATGAGACAATATGATATTTATCAACTTGCGAAAAATTGGTTACCTGATTCCAGTTTGGAAGACACTACTGCTGATTCCGCTGATTCAAATATGAATGTTAATATGAATGTTGATATTCAAAATATTCAAGATATTCAAGATATTCAAAATATTCAAGATATTCAAAATGTACAAAATATTCAAAATATTCAAGATACTCAAGATACTCAAGTTTCATCCACCACCACTACTTCCGAAAATCCAACCACTCTGATACTTTCCTCGGTAGATTCTGCAGATTCGAATATGAATATTGATATTCAAAATACTCAAGATATTCAAGATATTCAAGATATTCAAGAAATTCAAGCTTCATCCACAACTACTACTACTTCTAAAACTACTTCTGATAATTCAGCTACTTTAATATCAAATATTGAGAATTCTAATTCAACACAAGATACTTTTAAAAAATCCGAAATGAAGACGACAACGGACGTTACAGTTATGGATATTGAAAACTCAGATTCTGACAATGTACCCATAAATATCACTAATAGTAATGGTATATCAATCTCTGATATCCTTAACACCGACGTTAACGATAACGATAACATCGTTGATCTTACCGTTGAATCTGATAAAGAAGTTATTGATCTTACTGATGAATCCGAAACAAATCTTACCATAAAAGAGAAATCCGAATTATCACAGGATATAATGTCAACGGAAGGAAATGTTATTGATCTAACAAATGAGAAAAATATCATTGACCTTACCAATGAATCAGATATATCTTCATATATGAACTCAATGAATTCCATTAATTCTATTAACTCCATTAATTCTATTAACTCCATTAATCCAACTAGTTCAATACAAACTTATAATTCTTCGTTAATAACATTGCCTCCAATTTCATTACTACCACCAATTCAACCGTTAGATCTTAATTATATTACTTTTCCAAATTTATATACTCAACCATTAACGTTAAATGATTATGGATTATCTTTTCCTTCAAATGATACGAATTTTCAACAATCAATATTTGATTGGAGTGATTGGTTTATTGAAGATACATTTTTTACTTCATACGTGGATGATGATAATATTAATAATATGCAAAATCTTTTAATAAACAAATATCTTCCTTGGTGTCCATCTTTTCGAAATCCTCCATTTCACGATAATAATCCTTACAATCTATGGGATGAAGAATTTTTAATGAGTACTCTTATGCCAAAAATTTGGAATGAAGCAAAAGAATTACATAAAAAATCAAATGACGTTGTAACAAACGTACAAGGAGCTGTATTAGGAGGTTATAAGGAATATAATATATTTAAATGTAAGATTTGTAAGTTAAAAGGTGATAATTATGAAGAAACTTCTTATTTAGATGTTAGAAGACATTTACAAATTTTACATTTAGGACATGATATTTATCATTTAGATGATGAAGAAATGATTGATGTTGATGTTTGTGCAACATCTTTTAATAAGGGAATTTCTCTTGATAACATAGGATATAATGATACCAGAAATTTTTTATTTTCGATTGGTTACAATTTCAATTTATTAAATGATTTGGTTAAATTCTGAACATTTATTTTGTATTTATTTTCATTATATTTCTTTTTTTTTTTTTTTCTTTTCGAAATTTGGTGTATATACATATTTGTTTATACGTTAGAAATTAACACACATATATTTTTAGTACATATCTTTTTTGGTGAAATAAAAAGTGTATTTTTTTTTTTACAGTACGTATAAAGTTAATAGATAATAAGTATTATTATTAAACCAATTTGTTTAGACGACTACTTATAATCTATTTCTGTATTGATATACAATATATATATCTGTATATACAATATTTCGTATATACTTTGCATATAAGCTTATTATTAAGAAGCTTTTATTTGTATAAATAAAAAAACAATATTTTATATAATCATGAAATAAAAAATTGAATATATATCATATATATATATCAATATATCACGATCATAGATTTAATAATCAATAATAATAATAATATACTGTATACATAGATACAGTACGTATACGTATACGTATGTATGTATATTTTTGTTAAACAGAACAGAGTTTTGTTAACCTTTTTTTGATACGTACGTATTGGATATATTCGTCAGGGTTATCATTATCCGATAGCGATAGTTTTTTTAAAGAAATATATACATAAATATCGGTCTAACGCGCTAAATTACAAATCGAGATAACAAGGAAACTGTCACATGTTAATACAAAAATAGTAAATTTCATTATCTTTAATAACACATGTCAAAAACATCACTTTAATACGTAAAAGGTCAGGTGATAATATTCGCATATAGCGATGGAACAGTAGTAGCGAGTACAGTAATAGTAAAGAAACAAGTGTGCCAAAATTTCTGTATCAAAAGTATGCGCAGAGAATGAATTTTACATTTATTATTACAGTGTTACAATATTAATATGCTTTGAAAAAATATATTTAATGACGAATACTTAATAACATTCCTTTAGAAATGACATTAGAATATTATTAATATTATTATTGTTATTAGATCACTATATTCACTATATGAACTTTTAGGATGTCATTTTAAAAAAAAAACGTAGGCATACATTCTTATATTATAATTAATAAATATAGCAGTATAAATAAATTAAAAAATCTTTTTTTTATATTTTTGATTTTTTTTTTATCTCTGTGAACACATACAACATTAATTCATTATCTTTTGGTAATACTGTATCATAATGCCTAAAAAGATGACTCGTATTAAAAATTCGAAAAAAAAGCAAAATGCTTCAAAGTAAATATTTTCTTTGCGTGAAATGTTTTGTGTCACACATATCACGACTTTTAAAATTTTTATTAAAATATTTTAGAGCGTCAAATATTGTGAATGAGCAAGAAAGTCCCATAGTAGTTAATAAAGTTCTAGACTATCGTTGTGTGAATGGAAATGATGTGTATTTACAACAATATCAAGGTATTTTTAATAATATCTAAATATATACTTATTATTATTATTATTATTATTATTATTATTTTTAAGTATATAAATTTTCATTAATTTTAGTGGACGAACAAATTAAAATAAATTGGATGAAATATGAATCAATGATCGGATGTGATAATTTAATTCGTGATTACTGGTTACGTGAAAGAAGTATCAATCCATTAGCTTCACCATCAGGTTCCTCAAATATTTTAGTAGGTTCTGGATGGTTACAATTTCGTTCTGAATGTGAACAATCAAATAATATCGATAGTACAGACTTTATGGATGATCTCACTCAAACTAATGTAACATTTACAAATATCGATATGATGAAAAATGTTGAAAATATCTTATCAAATGGTATGTTTTTATAATTATTAATGTTGCATATTTTAAAATATTATGTATACAGTACTGTATTATATGTAAATGATATTCTACAAATTTTGTTAAAAGGGTCAAATAAAATGAGTACTACAAATGTAGAAGCAACTTTACCTAATGTTAACTCTAACGTTAACTCTAACGTTAATGTGAAAACCAATAAACGGAAGAAGGCTGCCGATTTTATGACGATTTCAAGCACCAGTAATAGTAATAATAATAAGGAGATATCTGCAAATAACCTGAGTGATGCAGGCTTGAAACCAAATAAGATTAACAAATTGGAGTGTCTCTCAAAAGAGGTTAATAGTATTGACAATGAGATCATTGAAGAGAGTATAAAACCAAATAAGAGAAGTAAATTTACAAATGTCGAATTAGAACAAATTAATTTTTCTAGCATCAATAATTCGGCGTCTACCGCCGATAAAAATTCAACGTCTTTTGATAAAGTCAATAATAATTCAACGTCTATCGCTATTGATAAAGTCAACAATTCAACTTTTACCGATAAAGCAAATAATAATTCAACGTCTATCGATAAAGCAATCAATAACTCGGTGTCTACCGAGAAATCCAATAACAATAATTTTGCATCTATTGCTATTGATAATGTATGCATTAAATATGTCGGTTATTGTCAATTGTCGATTTTTATTTAATATATATATTTTTATCCTATTAAATTTCAGAATTTAAGTGAGAAAGCACGAGGAAAAACTATTAGCATCGACATATCAACAAAAGAACGCGCTAGCGGTTTTATTCCAAAGACCTTCTCCACGTGAGTTAGTTTCTATAGTTGTCTATTATCTTATACTATTAATATATTACTTTTACATTATTAATACGTATATTGCTTTTACATTATTAATATATTACTTTTACTTTATTAATACGTATATTGCTTTTAAATTATTAATATATTACTTTTACATTATGAATAGAAAACATACTCAAATTTACAAAGAACACGAAGTGGTGCAAACTGCGCCATCCAAAAAACCTTCAGACGCGCAATCAACGAACATTAGTGGTAAGTCATAAACTTTATTATTTTTGGTAAAAGTTCCTATAATTTTATTAATATCATTTTATACTGTATTATTAATATTATTAATATTATTATCCTTATAGTGACCAAAGATACTGGAACCAATGATGATCCACACCAAACGAATATGTAAAATAATTCATTCTGATTTGTAAGAACTTAAAAAAAATGAAAGAATGATGATACTAATTTATTCTTTTTAGGGAATGGAAAGGAAGCCTTATCAAGGGTAGCCTTGTACAATTTATTGCTACGGTGGTTCTAAAACCATTGCCGGATCATTGCCCAGATTCCACGCTCTTGTAGGCTCATTCACTGGCTATAATGAATTTACATTTTACTGTATATTAATATCCTTTTTTAATTTTTAATCATAGTAATGAAATATCGAACAGACAAAATTTACGAATAGAACATTGTATACGATTATCTGATGCAATGAAAATTGTCAATCCAAACGCTCTTGGGTTTATAACTGAGCCAGCCAACATACTTAAATCAAAGTATAATATAAGAAAAGAATACATGTTTATGAAAGAGAATAATATTGTGAGATTTTTTAATCATTATATATTATTATACAATATTATTATATTTTGCATAACTAATATAATCTTAATTAATTTAGGTTGGCGTTATTTGGCTTAACAAAGATAAACAACGTTGTCTTTTAGCTTTTGCTATTTCCAACGATATTTGTCGTTTTCTTCAACTCAGGCATAAACCAAATGTTCCTTTAATCCTTCTTGAAAAGACTTTACTTTCCCAACCAACTCCATCTGTAACCTCTAAATATCAAAAAATATTTCCACGACATTTACTGGATAATAATCTTGATTTACAAATATGTGAAATTTATCTCAACTTTATGGAATATTTTAGACTTTTAGAAATTTGTAAAAATCCTGGTGTTAAGGTTTTATTTTTTGCACCGGATCTAAAGCCAGTAACAGTTGAAGGTGGTCAGGTAGCCATGAAAGAAAATTTAGAAGCATTGGAGATGAAACATGCCTTGAATTGTTTAGGTGCCATTTGTGTAAATACATACAGTGATGATATTCAGTGCGTTTTGGTATGTATTAATTACAACAATCTTCAATTTTTTTTTTTTGCTTTCATCTTAAAAAAATTTGGTTACTCACTATCTTAAAAATTATCTTAAAAATTATTTTAAAAACTATCTTAAAAATTATCTTAAAAATTATCTTAAAAATTATCTTAAAAATTATCTTAAAAATTATCTTAAAAATTATCTTAAAAATTATCT